CATGTGCACGCATGCAGGTGCAGTGGCTCTTGCACACGCGTGTGCCCGTGCACACACCGGAGCTCCTGCCCACGCGTGTCCATGCCCATGGGGTGACTCTTGCACGCGCGTGTGCACGCATGCAGGTGAGGTGGCTCTTGCACACGCGTGTCCATGCACACGGGGCGGCTCCTGCACACGCTTGTGTGCGTGCAGGTGCAGCAACTCTTGCACACGCATGTCCTTGCACACACTGTAGCTCCTGCGTGCACACAGAGCGGCTCCTGCACACACATGTGCAGGTGTGCAGGTGCAGTGGCTCTTGCACACGCATGTCCATGTACATGGGGTGGCTCCTGCACACACGTGCAGCTCTTGCACATGTGTGTGCCCATGCACGCACAGTTGCTCCTGCACAGGCGTGCCCGTGCACACAGGGCGGCTCTTGCACACACATGTCCATGCACACACCGTACCTCCTGCACACGCGTGTGGCCATGCACAGAGAGCGGCTCCTGTACACGCATGTGCTTGCTCAGGTGTGGCAGCTCTTGCACACGCGTGTGCCTGTGCACACACCATAGCTCCTGCCCACGTGTGTCCGTGCTCACGGGGCGGCTCCTGCACACGTGTGCTGGTGCGGTGGCTCTTGCACAAGCATGTGCCCATGGGCACAGGGCAGCTCTTGCACACGCGTGTCCATGCACATGGGGCGGATCCTGCACACGTGTGCATGCATGCAGGTGTGGCGGCTCTTGCACACGCATGTCCATGCACACCCCATAGCTCCTGCACACGCATGTGCCCGTGCCCAGGGGGTGTCTCCTGCACACGCATGTGCACGCACAGGTGCAGTGGCTCTTGCACACGCGTGTGCCCGTGCTCACGGGGCAGCTCTTGCCCACACATGTGCACGCATGCAGGTGCAGTGGCTCTTGCACACGCGTGTGCCCATGCAGAGGGCCGCTCCTGCCCACGCGTGTCTGTGCACACGGGGTGGCTCCTGTACATGTGTGTGCCCATGCACACACCGGAGCTCTTGCACGCGCGTGTCTGTGCACACAGGGCGGCTCCTCCACACGTGTGCTGGTGCGGTGGCTCTTGCACAAGCACGTGCCCATGCCCACAGGGCAGCTCTCGCACACGCGTGTGCCTGTGCAAACACCAAAGCTCCTGCTCACGTGTGTCCGTGCACACGGGGCAGCTCCTGCACACGCGTGCGTGCATGCAGGTGTGGTGGCTCTTGCGCATGCGTGTCCATGCACACACCGTAGCTCCTGCACACGCGTGTGCCTGTGCACAGAGGGTGGCTCTTGCACACGCATGTGCCCACGCTCACGGGGCAGCTCTTGCCCACGCATGCGCACGCATGCAGGTGCAGTGGCTCTTGCACACACATGTGCCCGTGCAGAGGGCTGCTCCTGCCCATGCGTGTCAGTGGCCACAGGGCAGCTTTTGCACACGCGTGTGCCCACACCGGAGCTCCTGCCCACGCGCGTCCGTGCACATGGGGTGGCTCCTGCACACGTGTGCATGCATGCAGGTGTGGCAGCTCTTGCACACGCGTGTCCATGCACACCCCATAGCTCCTGCACACACGCGTGTCCGTGCCCGGGGGGCAGCTCTTGCCCACGCATGTGCACGCACACGTGCAGTGGCTCTTGCACACGCGTGTGGCCGTGCAGAGGGCCGCTCCTGCCCACGCGTGTCCGTGCACACGGGGCGGCTCCTGCACACGCGCGTGCCCGTGCACACACCGGAGCTCTTGCACACGCGTGTCCGTGCACAGAGGGTGGCTCCTGCCCACGCGCGTGCCCACGTGCGCGGGGCAGCTCTTGCACGCGCACGTGCCCGTGCCCACGAGGCGGCTCCCGTCCACGCGCGCGCCCACGTGCGCGGCTCCCCCGCCCACCCGCGTCCGCGCACCGGGGGCGGGCCCTGCCCGTGCCCACGTGGCTCCCGGGGAGGCACGGCGCCGCCCGGCGGGCGGC